CTCAAAACCCCCAGTATTCTCCCTTATGTCTGTTTACGGCTTCCAAAAAAGGTTACATTGGAGTAAAATGAATTTTCAAGCTGGTCACAAATACAGTTAAATTTTCTATGCCCTGAAATTTTGGGTAGACACATGGGGTTTTATTCCTTAGAATCAGAATGTGCTGTTTATCCATCTTCTATCCTGCCTTGCTGCAGGAAATAGAAAGATCTCTTTCCACAGGCATGTTAGTTATTTCTGCTGAGGTTGTTTTTCTTTGCCTCTATATTTTTAAGAAACTGAGTATCTGATAAGCCAACAAACGCCTAGGATTGCAGTGATAAAATGCTCAAATTCAGCAACACTTTGTTGCAATTTGAAACAAAATCCATTTGCTGACTTGTTCAACAGGGCTGTTCCATGAATTGGCAATGTCTGAAGTGCAGTAAACTGGAATCAGTTGTGACATATATACTGCAGCCATCTGGTTTATGGGTCTGCTGGCACCAGGTTGTTTCTCTGGAAGGATGTTTCTCTATTGCGAGTGCAGATAATATTCTGATGATGAGGCTCTTACGTTTTTATCATAAGCTCATAAATACTTGCTCAAGGGAAGATGGTCTCTTTTTAGCTTTCTGTTACTCTTGGAAGTACTTGAAATCTCTGCTGCTACACTTCCTTTCTAGAGGGATGGAGGGATATTCTTTAAAATCTCCATAGCATTGTCTCTTGCCCTGACCACTGGTGTAGTATTAACAAAAATACAATAGGTTGGGCAATGTTGGTATCAAAGGAAGAGTAAAGTTGAGGAATTATATGAAGGATACCAAGAAATGGCTGCAGAGAGGAGGGCAGAATTGTGATGACAGTAGAAGGGAAGGACACCATGATAGCAAAATCCTAGTAAAAGGGGCCTGTGCAGTTCTGCTTTAACATTTGAAAAGCCACAGTCATCTCTTTCTGCAAGTGTGTCTTGGTTTTATTTGGTAGTGGTGCTAATCTAGTCCGTGGTAGATTAGAATTAAACCTGAGAAAATAAATAGCCCTGGGATATCAGAATCTGATCCTCTGGAGATCTTGAGTATAAGAAAATGAAATCTCAAGCTTCAAATGACTGTTGAACATAAACTCTCCGTTGTGTGATTAGCTGTATCTCTTTATTAGTGCTTCTTTATGGTGTGGAGCAACAAACATTGGAGAACTTCACATGAGCTATCAGGGCTGCATTGCTGTTTGCCCTGCTTTTGGTCCTGTTTTGGCTCCCGGGATCTTGGATTTGTTCAGTGCTTCTTGATTCAGGACTAGAAATCAAGTATATTTGTTGCTTTTTGGATTAGAAGCTTGCATTCTGAATTCAGAGACTGCAGTCCAGAGGGTGGCTCAGTGAACAGACTGTTAGTTAAACCAATTCACTCTTGTGATAATCACCTTGGCTTCTGGGTTGAATGCTGATTAGCACCATGGTGATGAACACTTGTTTCCTCCCAGAATCCTATGTAGGAAAATATTTGCACAGAAGGAGGAAGGATACCTTTATTTGAAACTTGAATATCTATTTTAAGCTTTCAGGAATATATAATTTCTAAGCATTATCCACCTACTGAACAGCTGTCCTCTATCCTGCCAGTTTTGCTTTCTTGAGTTTTCCCTGTTAAAGCATAAGATAACAGCACTGATGATTTACTAATAGCTGTATCAATACAGTTCTCAATATAGACTTATTTGTTTTCTGTTTACAGTCATAAATTGACTCATAATTCAGTTCTAGAGAGGAAGAAAGAAGGAAAGCCCAGTACCATTTGTATTATACTTTATACAGTACTTGTATATTCCTGTGCCTTTCTATTGCCATTTACAGGACTGCTTGAAAAACTGATCTACTGGCCAGACCTCCTGTTTGCAGCTGAATACATACTGTTCAAGTCCAACAGCAGGAAAAGCACCTGCTGCCACCCAGAATAGTGACAAACTTTGGGTTTATATCACATATGTTATAGTTAATTAGCACCCCAGTGGTTGTTTTGGAAACTAGTTGTTTTGTACCAAGAAGCAGGTGTTAAGAGTGTGTTGTTGAGACAAAGGCTTTGTGTGTTCCTTATTAGTCAGTATTGTTAAATAAGATGTCTGTCTAATTCTGGCTTTTGCCCTGCAGTTCAGGTGCAACCCCAGTAGGGAGCGAGAATATTCTGTCACTTTCCCAGGGAAGGAGCAGTGGAACCTTCCTGCTTCTGTATGTTATCTGGGCGGGGTTCAGGAGCAGCATGGATGGAGATGGGGGATTTCCTCTGAAAGCCTTAGAGGTGGCTAAAGAGAGGGCTCTCTGGGGATCTATGTGATATGGCTTGCACATCCTGCAACCCAGAATGCCCCAGATGGTGGCTAACCTTGCAGAGGGATAAATGCACTTTCCAAGGTCTCTGGAGGTGATGGGGTTGTTAAACATGCTTTTTAACTGCAGTTCCCCTGTTTGTCCAAGTTTGCATTCTATAGCATAATTTGATGCTCCTGGAGTGCTTGCATTAAGGCAGTGATGCAGACCATGCCACCCCAGAATTGTGATAAACTCTTGTCCCCACTCAGTGATGAACAGTGAAACATTCAGATTTGCAAGCTGCCTGACTAGTAGTTAGAAAATGGTTCTGAGTTAGGGCACTACACTTGAATGGAGTTCTTAATGGACTCTTAATGTTTGAATTTGGTTCTTAATTTCCTTTAACATCAGAAAGGGCAGGGCAAGGTGAGTTTCTTTGGGTCACTACAGATTTCAGAATTCTACCTAGGAGAGGCAAATTATTCAGTTTGGTCTTTACCAATTTCCCAATAATTTTCTGTAGCTCCATATGTACTGCTTAGAGTACACCTTCGTCCCCAGAAGACCTAGTTCTGTTAAAGCTGAGTAGCACTACTTATCTGAAGTTCAAAGTATAGCCCCTGGTACCATTTAAATTTCATATTCCTTAAAAAAATGTTGAGTCTACAGCTGGATGATTGCCTGATACAAAACACCACTTTGAGTGGTGCTAGTTCTTCATCACCGATGAGACAGCAGGGACTGTGTGATTAATTCCAGTATTTTTATTTCATTTCATCTTAAGCCAACAATAGGAAACTCTGGGGCAGATACATCTTATTGTACCAAGTGAAATACTGAACATCAAGCCTCTAGCCAGTAAAATGAAAAAATAATTATCAGGTAATGTGAAGCTATGGCTTGTCTTATACCCAGGTCTTTAATGGCATGCCTTGGTATACAATATCCTTAATGAGCTTTTGAAACTTCCATGGTCACAGTCTGTTCCAAGCTGTGTTTTTGTTCTTTTTGATTTGGGTGGTGGAAGTTATAATTGAGTTTTGTTTCTTTATTAAAGAGACTTTAGTAATGGTGAAAGGTGTTGTTTGAAGGCCCTAGAAATGGATGTCTTCAAGCAGTGTTAGTCACTGGGCACCCTGTTGAGCCTGTTAACAAGGTTACCTTTTATGTTGTGCTGCTGGAGGTCCTTGATGTGTGTGTGCTCATAGAGGTTTATTCTTATTTGGTCACTGCCTGTTGAATCTATTTCATATGTAGAACTGTAATGCCCTATACTGAAGGTGCTCCAGATACCCTATTTGCCCACTTCATCTGGAAGAAAACAGTTTTCTGTATCTTTGTGATTGATGGCTTCCTTTGCACATACTTGCACCTGGTTTAATACATATTCTTAAGGTAGCTTAATACTTGGTGAACACCTGGATGAAGATAATTTTTCTAGGACAAAGCTTGCTTTAATTAATTACACTAGAGAAGAAAAGGAAAAGAATATTAAACTGAACAGAAATAGGATAATTGTGTTCACAGGACTTCTGTGCTGGTTTAACTTAATCTGATTTATGATGATAACTTGAAATTGCTACAGACTGTATGTAGACAGATGGTCCAGTCTTGGGTTTCTGCTTTTCACTGCACACCCAGGTTTGCCTGGCCTGTTAGCTCATGTCAGTGCTTTCATTAAGGCATGCCTCATATCAGACACCATAATCAGTGGCTGAATTTTTACAGCAAACATGACTATCAACATTGAGTAGGGAGCAGTTGGTTTTGAGACCATTCTTATGTCATAATTATATGAACTTTTACCCTTTGTAAGAGGTATGAAAGTGATTGAAGACCTCTCTTTTTCCAGATAGTTAAATACCTGTGTATTTAACTGTGTATACCTGTGTAGTAGAGACCTTATGCCTGATTCTTGTTTCCAGCTGCTAGATACTGTACTGGTGCCCCATGCTTATTATGGCCCAACTTTTTAACTGTTTAATTTGCTACCTTATAGCTACTTGTTACAGTTACTATGCCTATGTGATTTTAAAAATTAATTACTTGAGTTGTCTCCTTACAAACTGATGAAATAGAGTGAGATCCAGAAAGGCACTTTGGATGCCTCCAGATTGATGCTTGATCCAAAGAGGGTGGTTCCAGGCAGAAGAATGGGATGTATATTGTGCAGTGACTGCTGAATGGGAAGGCATGTGGCACACACCAGTAGGAGCTGCTGACTCTGCCAACCCATCTGAACTTCTGCACTTCCATGGTGCTGAGGTGCAGCATTGAGACAAACTCATAGATACTCTTTGTAGCGGAGGAGGTCCTATGTCATTGTCTTAGCTCTTGCTTAAACAGGGATTTATTAATTCAAAGCCAGGTGATGAGAGGAAGAGGCATGCTGATGTCTGCTGTTAAAGAAATAACCTAAATTCTGGATCTTCCTCACATGAAAGGTTATTAAACTCAGTCTTGTTGTCAGGAGAGCAACCTGGTCCAAGTTTATAGAGGAATCCCCTTCTATTGCCCTCTCCCAGTTCTGGGTGGTCCCGATTCTCGTTTGTGCACGTGGAAATGCAGGGGAGGTGGGGGGGGTTTGACTGTAAAAATCAATAGCAAGAGCCATCATGTGGAGAGCAACTCATATCTTTTATCGTGCTGTCCAGATTCAGACAAACATGGCTTTGTTTCTGAAGAGTGTTGTGTCCTTTCTGGTGCACAGGAGCAGCAGAGAAGAGCTCAAAGCACGGAGCTGAAGACCGAACCCAGAATTTCATCATGGCCATGAAAGACCGCATGAAAATCCGGGAGCGGAACAAGCCAGAGATCTTTGACCTCATCAGAGATGTGTTCTGTGAGAGCAAAATGACACATGCTCAGCAGATGAAGACGGTGAAGCAGAGCGTGCTTGATGGCACCTCAAAATGGTCAGCAAAGATCACCATCACGGGTGAGTGAGGGAGACATGGGTTGTCTTGCTTGGGAGCCTAAGGTAAGAGGGAGTTGGTGTGAACCTAGGGAGAACAAAGAGGAAGGACTTCTCTGACCTATGTCACTTTCAGCTCAGTGTACAGGTAGCAAATGGAGATATGCCTACCCTGGACACTAGTGCACCACAAGCTGAGGCTCATGAGAACAGCTGTCATGAGTGTGATATTTCCTGTTCCTCTGGCCATTCTGAACTGCAGCTTCATGTGATGTGTGGGCACATTGTCTTATTGCATGGTGGTGGTAACCCTTTTCTTTCCCTTCCAGTGGTGTGTGCTCAGGGTCTGCAGGCCAAAGACAAGACTGGGTCCAGCGATCCATACGTAACCGTTCAAGTGGGTAAAACAAAGAAGAGGACAAAAACGATTTTTGGGAATCTGAACCCTGTTTGGGAAGAGAAGTTTTACTTGTAAGTGCTCTTATAAGAACTCTCAGCCCCGTTTTTCCGGTTTGTATGATCTGTGCTTCAACAGCTGTCTTTTCTGTCACTATGCCTTTCCACACCACCTGTAATTTATGATGGTTTTATTTCCAGTCAAGGTTGAGTGTGTGCATCTGGGGGGTTGATGTCTTTAATAATGTATGTAGTGCAAACCTGTCCATTTCATCTAGCTCACTTGTGTATAAATAAATTGTCTGCTCTGTGAACACTTAGATTGATGTTTCTAGAAAAAGCTGAAGACAAAAGAAAATGTTCAGCTCAGGGACTTACATTGCTGGCTAATAGACATATTTACAAAATTCTTTTTTATATAAAAGAGTAAAGTTTGTATTAAAGACTAATCAAACTTCCTGCTGTGACCTGCTACTGGTGCTTGACCAACAAAGGTTAAAGCTCTTTGTCACTTGTTGGTGACAGTACCAGTCTCACCTTTTAATTCTGAAAAATCAATGTAACAGTAACTGAAGGGATTGTCTGCCTTCAAGAGGCGCAATATATCCATGTCTGAATTACAAGCAAAAGCTGGAGGCACAAATCTTCAGATACCAGCTACTCTCAGAAGACTGAAGATAGTATTGTTCCATCCTGCTTTTATTGAATAAGTAAACATCCTTGAATCATTTAATGTTTTAAGGTTGGAAAGAGCCTTTAAAGCTCAGCCCCTATGCAGTGATCAAGGACATCTTCAACTAGATCAGGTTAATCTGAGCCCCATCCAACTTGATCTTGAATGTTTCCAGGTTTGGGTCTTCTACCATATCTCTGGACAATCAGTTAAAACACAAATTAGTGTCTGATCATTCCATTCATAAGAAATTTCTTCCTAATACCTAGTCTATATCTGTTCTCTTTCAGTTTAAAAACATTACACCTTGTCCTAACACTACAGGCCCTGCAAAAAAGTTTGTTCCCATCTTTCTTGTAGAAAATATTGAAAGGCTGCTATGAGGTCTCCCCGGAGCCTTCTCTTCTCCAGGCTGAACAACCCCAACTCTCTCAGCCTTTCCTCACAGGAGAGCTGCTCCAGCTCTCTGATCATTTTTATGGCCCTCCTCTGGGCTCACTCCAGCAGATCCATGTCTTTCGTTGCACATGTTATAAGACAAAATGGAGTCTTGGAATCCATTAGGCATTTCCTGAGGATTCTGGATTGTCTCATTCCAATTAAAACATCTTCATTTTCTTTAACGTGTAAGCTCTTCTCTTTTCCCTTCTCTTCCGTTCCATTTTTTTTTCCTTCCATGTTTTTCCTGAACTGCGTGGGGAGAGAGCTCTCTGTGTTTTCAAATCAGGCTTATGTCAGCCCAGCTTTGCCTTTATAATGCACAGTACAAACAAAATTGTTTTTGAAGTAGTTTTGAGCTGCTCATTAACGTCAGAAAAAGTCTTGGTGCTATTTTGAGCGAGTAAACCCTTAGCTTTACTCTTGGTTTAAATCAAGGTAGCGTTCCTGCTTGGCAAGTAGTAAGTATGCTTAGGTGTCATTTGGATAACTCTAGTCACAATAGCAGTAAGTCTGTGTGGGAGCCTTAAGGACCTTGGTTTACCATGCCAAGTAGTTACCATGGTATTTGCAGTATGTTCCCTTCTAATTTTAGGATCTTCAACAAATACTGTGTTTAAAGATAGACAGCGCAATGTGATAAATGTCACAGTTCTAATGGTGCCACTGTTTAAATTTTAACACCATATTTGTGATTCAGCAGATAATATGCAGTTGGGCATTAAAGTTGATGCTACTTTCTATCTTGCCTGTGTCTAGGTGGTTGTTTCAATTGCTTTGGACTAGCAGGAAGAAATGAAGGAAATGAGCACAATGTCCAGACTGATGGCAGGAGAGCATTCAGTACTGGGATCAATGTGTCATTTCGTTGCTAGATGTCAAAGCTTGCCTTATACTGGATGGGGAGAGGGTCATGTAGAAGAAGTTGATACAGCACTAGGCTTTTACATGCCCATCTTCCTTTTTTGCATTTATGGATCTTTTTTCAGCTTACATCTCTTAAGATTTATGGATTTTTCTACCACGTAGTCAAATGGAAATTCAAATGAACATGTGCAGGCCAAAAATACCCATAGCAAGACTTTTTAGAAGAGATTATTGAGTTTAAAGGGTTGCAGGAGAGGGGTTTGTGTTTGTTTGTTAGAATAAAGCTAATTTGTTACAGTTGTAGAAAGGTAGTTACAGAAAGCCTACCTTGACCTGTGAAAAGTTTGGTTTTCAAAACACTTAAACCTATCAGTGGGTGCAAGATATACATATAGAAAGGGGTCAGTTCAGTAACTAATATGTTGGTTAGCAGTTGCTGTTCCTCTTCTGTATGGCTTGTTAAACAGACTTGTTTGTAGCTGGTGTTTGTTAGATGCCCTGTGTCTTTTATATTATCACAATTCCAGTGGCTTATCAAAGGTTGGATATAGAGTCAGAAATCTGTGTGCATCAGTTGTTATAATTACAGCCTTATTACTGTAATCCATGGCATGAATTGAGGCAGATTGTATAAAGCTTAATGATACAGTTCTTTCTATAGACTCAGTAAGGTTTATCAAAAGCAGCTGAAATAAGTTTCAAATTTTTTAAGGCTTTGGTAACCTCTTTCAAGTATTTTTTCTATGCTTATTTACAATGATGGATGGAAAAGTATATTAACTTATATAGCTCAGCATAAATATAACTTGTTCCTTTTCTATACATTTTCAGAAAAAAAAAAAAAAAAGTGTGACAGGCTTGACCCATTTTGGAAGCCCAGATTTAGAACCATGTCTTAGAAAAGACAATGTTGAAAACAATTCAGGTTTCCATTATAAATGCTGTTTAGGTCAGCGCTAGCCTGTATCACTATAGGCATCTGCTTAGATTATTATCCATTTCTTGAAGTGTATTTATGTTGTCTGAGTAAGTGATTGAAGGTTGTTTATTTCTGAAAATGAGTAATTAAATAATAATCAGTAATGTTAGAGGGGAAATATTTTTGCATTCAGTGCATTAGAACAGAACATTAATTTCCCGTTTAGATGTATTTTAGACTATCAGTAGAAAATACAAGCTTTCTAGAATCTTGTATCTGTTTTGTTGTGTTTTTTTTTCCATAAAGGTTGAAACAGAGCATCCATTTGAACAGGTTATAGTGGCAATATTGAGGAGATTAAGTTTGTGATTGCAGGACAGAGTTTCTGTTTTAAAGGTAGAGACCTGGAGGCTGCTAGTCCGTACCCTCTTTCAGGAAGCACCCTAGTCTTCTGTGAGCACTAGAAGTTACTGGATTCAAACAAGCCTTTGTTTTTTTTTTTCTAAGCACAAAATTACTTGTTAATTTTACAATAATACCTCCTTGAAGTTGTATTGTCTGAGTACAGCCATGTCTGGAGCTTTGAATGGTGGATGTGAAGTCATTGCCTGGAACACATTACTTGGTCACTGAACAGTTTGCAAGAAGCATGTTTATTCTCTCTCACTGCACAGGAGTGACTGAGTTAAAATAAATGCAGTGCCTCCTGCTAGCAGATAATCAATATTTTACTAGGGCAGTCAAGAGCCTCACATGATATACATGCCTGTTCATCCCTTGGGGATGGTGCTGTTGCATAGGTAACCACTGGGTTGTCACCCAGAAGCTTGTATTTGGTTCCTCAATTTTCCTTTCAGCTGCTG